AGAGAGCAGAGAGCAGAGAGCAGAGAGCAGAGAGCAGAGAGCAGAGAGCAGAGAGCAGAGAGCAGAGAGCAGAGAGCAGAGAGCAGAGAGCAGAGCAGAGCAGAGCAGAACAGAACAGACTACAGAAACGTGACGTAACAAAAGGAAGAAAAGAAAAACGTCGAAGAACTACGATCATTCTATTTTTACGTGTCAGCAAATAGCATAACCTGGTTATGTCTCTATCTAGGATCGTCGGGTCAATTTGGTAGATGCAGCCAAAGACGCTATGTCATCAATTCAAGAGAGTGCATAAAGGATTTTATGCATAGTTTACAAAGGAATGGGGGGACGAGATGCAGGTAGGACGATAGTGACGCATGGTATATGAAGTTCTAATACATGCATTAGTGTTCCTTAACTTAAGAAAAAAAAACCCAATAACAAATAAATAATAAATAAATAAATAAAAATCTATGGTTTTGTCCCTCAGTACAAATGAATCCTCTCGGGACTATATTGGATATGTGACGCAATATTTTCTCGTGGCAAACAATGGAATTGCTGGTTTTCAATTATTCCCAAGAGAATGCAATAATGAAATAACAAAAGACATTGCGGCCATGTTGGCGGGTCAATCAATACCCCATTGGCCACTTGTATACACACGGTCCTCCAGGATAGTCCCTAGAGAAGAATGAAACCTTTACTTAAAAAAGTGTGAGAGATAATCAGTATTATGTATTAACGATGAAATGTTCCCTCAGGGCAACAGTGGACGCCGTGCTGCTTCCTTGTACATCTAGCAGAATGAAACGCTGTTTGAAAGGGACAAGAGATGCCAAGACGCTAGACAAGAACATCAAACAAGGGTTAGAAGCCCAGAAAATACATATATACAACCAATACTGCGAGGGTGGATTTCTCGAGACTTTGCCTCTCTCAAGGGATCAGTGTTCTGAAGAATACTTCGAGACGTTCCAAAGAAGATGTTATGCAAAGTTCATAACGAAGTACAGAGAGAACAAGGCTAATCCTTTATTATGCCAGTAAGTCACATCTCGATATAAGATTTTGGGGGGTGGAAATTGACCCTTTCAGTTCGGGCGTACGTTTTCCCATTTTGGGCCATGTGTTATTCCCTATAATGTTCCTTCATTGTTTAACAGTGATTCCATCTATTCATCCTACTATTCATCCATTCATCCATCCATCCATCCATCCATCCATCCATCCATCCATCCATCCATCCATCCATCCATCCATTCATCCATCCATCCATCCATCCCCATCCATCCATTTATCCAACCATCCATACCACCCACCCATCCACTGAACCACTCAACTACCCACCTATCCCTTCATCTATCTATCCATCCATCCCTCCTCCCTCCCTCCTCCCTTCTTCCTCCCTCCCTTCTTCCTCCCTCCCTTCATCCCTCCCTCCCTCCATCCATTCATCCATCTATCCATCAATCCATCCATCCATTCATTCATTACTATCTTAAACCTAGACAAGTCTACAAACTTACCCAGCTACAAGTAGTACTATCAATCCGTCTGCATCGATTACTATTTGCGTACTTATAAAGTGGTAT